GGTTTTATTTCATCCTTAATAGAACCTTTAGATGATTTATCACTGATAGATGCAGCACCCTAAAAAATTGAGTTATGTCAATTATAAAGAAGAATCTAAATTAATAATTCTATAATACATACATTAGAACTTAAAGAATTATCACTAAGGCTTAATGATTCACCATGAGAATCTAGGCTGCAAGATTTTTTTCTGGAAAGCCTGTCTAAACTCATTCTGTAACAAAGTATTTTAAAATGTTTTATAAGAAAATTAAATAATAATTTTGTTTACAGACTTAGATGATTCATTTATATTCAAAAAGTGGCGCACAGAGGTATTTTAAGAGCACATGCAGTTAAAAAAAGTTAGCCACCCACCYACCCAAATTTTTATTTATAACAAATAGTTTCACTTATTATTCACTGTAATTCAAAGAAATCAATTAGTATAGACTATAGTTTATGTTATGAATTATTTAATTTCCCTGTGAAACCTGCAGTAGTACACACCCACCCCCCTCGAGAACACATGCAGTTGCATTCCTTGCTAACCTGTCTGGGTGCCACTGTATTTAAATTAATTCAATTTTTAAATAAATAACATAAAGTCTACTTTKTCTCTAATTGGAACAAAATAAAAAAAATTCAAAGATAAATTTAAAAAAAACTAAAAACTAATTAACTAAAAAAAATTGTTTTAACTTAGCATACTTAGACATAGTAAGTCCAGCACATTGGCTATCAGGTGAAGATTCTAGTAAATGATCACTAGGAACTTTAGTGGCATTACTATATCGTCGAAAATTTGGACCATTGAGAGCTTCAATTAAAGGAACAGTTTCGTAGCCATAAGGTGTACGTAAATCAATCTATGAAATTTAACAATTTATAAAAAAATATATACCTTACATTTTAAAATTGAATATTATTACTCTATGATTATTGTCTAATGTTTTTTGTAAAGCTTTTATTTGTAAAAGAGCACGGAATGGAACGCGGCATATTGGACAATTATTAGCTTGATATCGTAAAGAATCTGCACAAGATTGACACAAACACAAGTGACGGCAAGGCAAAATTAAWGTGTCACGCATATCACTCATACATATTACGCATTCTGAACTACCATCTTCTAAATCTTCATCTCCAGAATCCTTCAAATATAAATAAATAAATAAATAAATAAATAAATAAAACATCAGTATAAGTATACTAACTTTTAAATCCGGTGTCTTATTTTCAATGCCATATATTTCTTGCAGTAAGTAGCATAACCCATCTACGAATAATTTTTGTTTTAAAGCTTTTAAAATGTAGGAACCATCAGAGTATTGTTCAACAACTGCAATTGTGGTATGTGACTGTCGTGTTTCTGAAATGTATTAACTTAATAAAAAATGAAATTGACATTATACATTGAAGACTCATTTACCTTCAGAAGTATCATGAGCTATACAATGTATAGCAATCGGAATAACTTCTTTGTTAAATGCATAGGTTAAGTCCTCAGTAGTGTATAAACTTGGATCAAACATATGCAATGGTTGAATAAACTGTTGGTTTGAACCTCGTTTATAATGGTATACTTCAGATGTCATCGATGGATCACGACAGTTAAAACTATACAAAAACAAAATTATATAATGATATATATTATACATCAATAACACTTAATATTCACACTTACGAAACCCCACTTGGTGTAAAATCTTCAGTACAGAAATAATATATTGTTATTGAACAAGGTGAATCACAATCAAAGGTAAATTCTATATTGAATGTAGTTTTACCTTCTTCTGTACGTATAAAACGCAATGATTCTTTTCTAATATTTACCAAACTTTTTAACGGTTTAGTAGGTTCTCCTATTTCAGGGGGCGGGTATGGAAACTACATTTWAAAAAAACATAARTACAAATTATTTTTTTTAAACAAAGCTTTTTACATAATGGTTAATTGGTAAATTAATGTGGCAGGTGYTTATATWTTTTTTTAAATAGTTTAAGTAGGTTATTTTCCATTTTTTAAAATGATTTAGAACTCAGATCAACCAGAACAAGAATATAATATGTAGTTATTTCATAAATTAAATCTACTTACTGTAGTAGGGCATTTACTAAAAAAATTTAAATCCATATTTTCTCCAAATAAATATGCCTCTGGTTGTGGTGTATCAAATTTTTCACCACCCATAATAAAGTGAGTACTAAAATAATTTCCTGGAAAGATGTTTAAAAAAAAGAAATATTAAAAACTATCATTATAAAATAGGTATTATAAAAATTAATAAATAAATGAAAACTAATAAAAACTATTGATTATTTAAGAGAAAAAAATATTCATATTAGAAATTGCATTTCACACGTTTCTATTTTTTAAAATACATTTGTGTATACAAAAGTGAAGTGACATACATTTAAATTTTTTAAATGACTTATAATTTCATATTTTTTTTAACACTTTCTAATTGCAATGTATACAATTAATAATACAGAATATTAGAATATATATCCAGAATACAGTACAAAAAAAAAAAAAAAATTATGTACATTGATCAAATTAAATGTAAATAGCTAGTATCATACTAAATATTTTTTGATAATAATTTAATAAACAGTAATAAATTGTCATCATATTCAAATTAACAATAACCATAGTTATGTAATAAAATATTTTGTTTTTAATTACTATAATGAATATTTAATGCACGAATAATAAAGAATCATGCGTATTATTCTGAATACAATGA